AGTTTGACACTGGAATCAACCTGACAGTATGGAAAAGTGCCCAGGCATGTCCTGTCTGTAAAAAGTAGAAGAAATCCAATTCAACCAATTAATGACCCATCATTCCTCTCAATTATCATCAAAATGATGGAAGAGTTTGTCAAAGTGTGATTAAGTGGCACTTTAAAGAATGGATTACTTTTGCTGAGTGTGGGTCAAAATCATGGAACTTCCTTCATAACAACACTACAGGTGTACTCACCCCATGTATTGCAGCAGTTTAGAAGGCCATTCACACCACCTTCACAAGGACGATTAGAAATGGGCAATGAATGCTAACTTAGCCAGTGGTGTCCACAACATGTGAACAAATAAAAAACAATCTTACGCAGAATAATGTGGCTTAGCAATGCTTAGTTTGGATTCTGCCAAGACCACTAGCCTCTGAAAGCTATTACAATCTTAGTCCAAACATGAACACAAAGAAGCTGAATGGTGAGGTAAGAATGACTGCTCTTGACATGAAGGCAGCATTTGACCAAGTATGTCATTGAGAATTGTGAACAAAATTGAAGTCAATGGAAATGGAAGGTAAAACTCTCCGCTGGTTAGAGTCATACCTTGCACAAAGGCATGTAGTGGTGATGGTAGAAGCACAGTCATCCCAGTCCTAGGATGTTGTTGGAGCAGGTGGTGTGTTTGGCCCAACCTCCTTCAACTGACCTTCACCCTATCTTATGTTCAGAGGTGGAGAATGTTGACTGATGATTGAACATAATTTCATTTGCAAATTCTCAAATAATGAAGCAGTCCTTGTTTGACTGCAGCAAGACAGCATTCTGATTTGAGATGGAAAGTGGCCACTAACTCCCACACCACACCAGTGTCAAACAATGACTGTGCCCAATCTGAGAGAGTAAACAGCCACCTGCATTCAATGACATGACCATCTCTGAATTTCCGATCTTTAACATCGTAGAGGAATAACATTAACCAGAAACTGAACTTGATAAGGCTGATAAATACTGTGGCTACAGGAGCAGTTCAGGTGCTGTGTATTCTTTGACAAGTGACTCACCACCTGACTTCCCAAAGTCTTTCCACGATCTCTGACACACGAATCAGGAATCTGATTGAATACATGCCTGGCTGAGGGGAGCTCCATAGCATCGAAGTACCTCAATGTGATAGGAGGACATAGCCTGCTTGATAGGCACCCCACAGTACACCTCAAATATTCATTCTACCACCAGTGCTTAGGGTCATTAGTTTGTATCATCTACAAGATGTACTGCAACAACTCACCAAGATTTCTTCAACAGCACCTTTCAACCCCAGGGCTTCCTGCTGCCCTAGAAGGAGAAGAGTGGCTGGTGCACTGGAACCTCCCCTTCTTGTCCAAGTTGTCCTCTGCAGCAAACAGCATCCTGACTTGGAAATATACTGCTGTTCCTTTAGTCTTTAGTGTTGTGGTGCAATGACAACAGTCTCCCTCACAGTGTTGGCAAAACAAAAGAACTGATCATTGACTTCAAGGACCAAGGAGGAGAACATGCCCTGATGTACATCAATGGAACTGAGGTTGAGAGGGTGGAGAGTGTCAAGTTCCCTGGTGTGACGATAACCGATAACCGATAACCTGTCCTGGACTTCCCATGTAGACGCAGCAGTCAACAGGGCACAACACCACCTCCTCTTCCTCATACAGCTCAAGCAATTTGGCATGTCTGTAATGACCGTCGCTAATTTCTACAGATGCACCATTGAAAGCAAACTGTCCGGGTGCATATTGGCCTGGTATGGCAGCTGCTCTGCCCAGGACCGTAAGAAACTACAGAAGGTGTTGTGCACAGCTCAGACCATTACAAAAGCCAACGTTCCATCTGTGCACTCCATTTCAACTTCTTGTTTCCTCAAAGGCTGCCAGCATCATCAAAAACCCCTCCCACCCCAGTAATGGTCTTCTACAACCTCTTCCGTCAGGCAGAAAATACAGAAGCTTGAACAAACGCACCAACAGCTGCTTCCCTGCCATTATTTGACTCATAAATGGACTCTCTAACTTCAAATAAGTTGGTCTTCTTCGCGCACCTCCTGTGCAGTGTAACCTGTATGCCTCACTCTGTCTAAACACCGTATGATCTGTATGTCCTTGCTTGCTATGATCTCCCTGTATTGCTTGTAACCAAAGCTTTTCACTGTATTTAGGTACGTGTGACTACAATAAATCAAATAAATCAGATCAAATGCTGGGCCAGAATCCTGGCAATCCCTATGTATCAGCCTTGTGCAGTGTATCTATCCCAGATGAACTCTGGCAGTCCACGAAGATGGTTCAGTACCTTTGCAACAGTGATAATGGGTGACCAATGTATGCTGGCCTTGTGCAGTGCCAACATAGAGCCATAGAAATGATACAAAACAGAAGGGAGCCATTCAGCCATCTTTGTCCATGCTGACCCATGGACATCTGATGCCTTTTTTAATCCCAAATTCCTACAAATGTACATGAACCTGCAGCACTTAAGGTGCAGATCCAGGTACTTCTTAAAAGAGTTTAGAGTCTCTGTGTCCAACACCAATTCAGGCAGCAAATTCCTGACACCCATCACCCTCTGCATAAAAAGGATTTTCCCACATCCCCTCTAATCCTTCTGCCACTTAGCTTGACTCTGTGACTGCTGATTTTTGAATTCTCTGCTAAGGGAAGCAGCTTCCTCCTGTCGACACCATCTCTACCCTATCTGTACCCCTCACTGTTTTGTACACCTCAATCATGTCATTCCCTCAGACTTTTCTGTTCCAAGGAAAACAGCCTCATATTTACAATTCTCCAGCTTTGGCAATATTTTAGTAAATCTTTTCTGCACTTTCTCCAGAGCAATTATGTCCTTCCTGGAATGTGATGACCACAACTGCACACACTACTCCAGTTGTGGCGTCACCAGTGTCCTGTACAGTTTTATCATTATATCCTTACTTTGGTAATCTACACTTTTGCCAATGAGGCAAAGCATTCCATGTGCCTTCCTCAGAACCTTATTGACCTGTAGTGCTGCCTTTAGGAACCTGTTCACTTTACACGCTAAGATTCCTCACTTCATCTACCCCTCTCAGTATATTCCCATTTATTGTGTATTCCCTTTACTGTTTGACCTCATGAAAAGTATTACATCACACTTATCAGAGTTGTGCTCCATCTGTCACTTTCCTGCCCTCTCCGCCAACCCATCTAATATCATTTTGGAACTTGGAGCTATCCTCTACCCTATCCACTTTATATCCAATTTTTGAGTTGTCTGCAAATTTACCAATTGTGCCCCCCATGTTCAATTCTGAATCGTTCATCTATAAAATAAATAACAGGGGTCCCAAAACCAAGCCCTGCGGAACACCAATGGAAACAGCTTTCCGTTCACAAGCGCAGCCATCAACAATTACCCTTTGTTTCCTGTTACTAAGCCGATTAGTCAACACATTACTCCGTATCCCATGACCCATGAGCTTTTACTTTTTTGCACTTCTCATGTGGGACGTTATCAATTGCTTTGCTAAAATCCATGTAGACAAATTCATTGCGCAACCCTCATCGATCCTCCTTGTCACTTTCTTAAAGAATTCAACAATTTGTAAGGAATGACCTTCCCTTGACAAAGCCTTGCCGACTATCCGTGACTAGTCCATGTCTTTCTAAGTAAGTTTATTTGATCTCTCAGATCGATTTTAAAATTTTCCCACCACTAACGTAAGACGAGCAGGCTTTTAATTGTTTGGCATTTCCTTTGTACCCTTTATAAACAGTGGAACCACATTTATATTCCTTCCCTAATTGACTTAAAACAAAAATTGCCTGAGGATGATTAGTTTAGTCTTGCGTGTGCTAGTGCTACCCTCCTAATGGAGGGAGGGGGACTTTTCATCCAATTTCCCTACTTGTTCCCTTTGTTTTAATTTTCTTTTCTTGTAAATATTTCATCCAGTTCCCTTTTAACTGAAGCACTAGATTTTGCTTGAATAGTCACTTGCAGTAAAAGCATTCCCTATTCCATTATATGGAAATTTTTCCTCTAACTTTTTCCCATCGTTGTTGTGTGAACAAATCCTAGCCTGAATCACAAGAAACGAACTATGTCTCTTCAGAATGTTTTTTTTTGTTTGTTTGGGGTCTATCTCAAGAAAAACAAAAATCGAGCTCTGTTTTTCTGAAACTGAAACAGCAACATTAGAAGCTGTAAGTTCTTCAGTATGCTTGGGAGATCTAGAGTGAATTGTCACAGTAACCAGATGTTCCACAACATGGTTCCATGCTCATGACCATTGGACTTTAGATTGGTCTCATCTGTCCAGTATAGGAGAATCAGTCTTTGCATGCTAGAATAGACCAATTACAAAGTCACCAAGGATAAGAGATGCAGTGTCTACCTTCCCTGCATTTGGCCTTACTATTGAAATGTTTTTACAATAATGTGGCTTCTGTCAGATGCTAATAACTCTTTGGAGCCACGGGTGAGAGCTGGTGAAGGTGAGGATGAACCCAGCATGAGCTGCTCAAAAAAAAAAGTGAATCAAACAACTTTTTTTGCCCACTCAGTTAGTCCCTCCAAATCCTCTTGAAGCATCTTTGTATCTTCCTCTCAATTCTCATTTCCAACCAGTCGTGTGATTTGTCACTCAGGGTGTTTTTCTGTAAATATGCCTATCTTCATCCTTTGTCCCCATCCACAGATTAGCACATTTAATATTAAGAACATCCTCCTGATAAATGTGGGCTTTATAATGGGCATTAACACGTTGTGTCAGCATTGCTTGACTGATGTTTAAGGTTGTGGTAGTAATTAGTCTTTCTACATTAAAGGTACTTTCAATATTAGAAACTTAAGTGATTGACTACTTCATTGGAACCTAATACAATTATCAGTGTTCTTTCTTTTTGACAGTGCTGATTGATTGGATTTATTAAAAGGAAATGTACGGTGTTGCTTTCAAGCGGTAATAATTTCGTAATGAAATTTCACGTGCAGGCACTCAGACATGAACTAATGGATAAGGAGGAGACAATCGTAACTGCTTTGGATTCAGCTCGGTTATTCCTTGCAGATCAGCCCATAGAAGGGCCAGAGGAGCCGCGCCGACACCTTCATGTTAAAACAGGTCAGCCACTTAATCTATTGCAGAAACAACCACTTTTCTGTAAAACACTTGGCCTTATAGAGCAATAAGAGATTAGAAATAAAATAATGCTAAGCTGGAGAGTGAGAAATAATGCAGGGACTCATGTACGTTTTGCATTGTTATTTAAGAAAATCTGTTACAGCGGGTGACTGAAGATTCTGTGACAATTACTTAGAATTGTTTGTTGTGGGAACAATGGAAAATGTTTCCACTTACCTAGTGATTGTGGTAACTTCAAATTATTAGAAACTTTATAGAACAGCATCTTGAAATATGCTTTTTCATTTTCACAAAAAGTTACACGACTTTAACTTCTGCAATGTGTTCTTAATTACCATGTTCAAAAGCAAAAAGCATGCATCTGTTTACTGTCCCTACCATATTTTGGAAATGTATTGATGTGTCTTATTTTCAGAGGACAGTTTTCTGCGTGCCACTGGATGTACATTAGCCATACCAAATTGCTGCCTTAGCCTTAAGACAGGGAAGATCAACTGACTTTGGGGAAATGGAGAATCATTAGTGAATCCAATTACTTTCTGATCTGACAGCTTTATGGCATCTGTCCTGGATAACAATTAGATCTGGTAATCTCAATTGATACAGTGTAAATGTGAGGTGATGCATTTTGGGAGCTCTGATAAGTGAAAGATTTAGGCAATGATTAGTAGGTCCCTAGAGAGCACTGAGGAACAAAGGGACCTTGGTGTCCAAAAGCAAGAGCTCATCACCCTCTGCTTCTGGCCTTTCAGGCAATGTTGGATCCAACACTCCACTTAGCCTTAGATCCCGTGACTTCTTGCTTTGTGGACCAGTCTGCTATGACTGACCTTATCAAAAAACATATAGACCACATCAGATGAATTTCCCTCATGGACACTTCTGATATCTCCTCAATTAAAATTAGATAAAATTTGCAAACCATGACCTTACCTCAACAAAGCCATGCTGACTATCCCTGATTATTCCATGTTTCTCCAAGTGCAGAGACATTTTGTCCCTTAGAATTCTTTCTGATAACTTCCCCACCACCAAGGTTAGACTGGCTTGTAACTTCTGGGTCTATCCTTTCTTCTTTTATATAAAAGTATTAATGGTCCTCTGGCACCTTAGCAGTGGCCAGAAATGACTTGAAAATCTTTGCCAGGACCTCTGATATCTCCTCCTCTGCTTCATAAAGTCATACAGTGTAGAAACAGACTCACCATGTCAACATCAATGCCAACTAACAAACACCAAACTACTAATCCCATTTACCTGCACTTAGTCCATTGCCTACTATACCCTGGCATTTTAAATGCTTGTCCTGTTGCTTCTTAAATATTGCAAGCGTACCTGCCTTCCCCACCTTCTCAGGCAGCATATTGCATGTTTGTATCACTTTTGGTGAAAACATTTTCCTCAAATCTCGTCTAAATGGCTTAGCGTTCACCTGAAATCTATGCCCTCTGACTTAAACTCGTCTACCATGGGGAAACGATTCTCACAATCAATCTATGCCTCTCATAATTTTTATTTACCTCAATCAGATCTCCCCTCAACCTCCTCTTCTCCATGGAAAACGCACATAGCCTATCAGTTTCTCCTCATAAAACTTGCATTCAATCACAAAACAACACCCAGAAACATATACTATCAACAAACCTGGCCAATATCTCTGTCTCCGGCTTGCTACAGTGTTCCAGCGAAGCCCAGCGCAAGCTGAAGGAACAACACCTCATTTTCCGCTTGGGGAACCTACAGCCCTCCGGACTCAATATTGAGTTCAATAATTTTAGGGCCTAAACTCTCCCATGTCCCAGCCCCACACACCAGGCTTTGTTACCACATAGCCTGCCACTACACACCCCCTGTTGTTAGTCACTGACAGTCCCCATTAACAACTATTCACCCTCCCAGCCTGATTGTTAGCAACTCCTCTGTCTGTCCAACTGTCTTTCTCTCTCTTTGGGCTCTATCCTATCGTTTACTCCCTACCCCACCCACCACCCTATTTTCTGCATATAAACTGATGTTTTCCCAGCCACCATCAGTTCTGAGGAAGGGTCACCGGACCCGAAACATTAACTCTGTTTTCTCCTCCACGGATGCTGCCAGACCTGCTGAGCTTTTCCAGCAACTTTCTTTTTGTTCCTGATTTACAGCATCCGCAGTTCTTTTGGTTTTTATCAACAAACCTGTCAGTCTCACCAATGCTTTGTAATGCTTCCACCTGTTGCTCAAAACCCTGTGCTCAAGTTGCTCCAATTAGAGGCACCTTCAGTACACATGGTCATGCAGACCAGCAAGAGCACTCAGCATTTGACATGTAGTGTAGGATGGGCCAGACCTTAATTCCAGACATACCTTAACTCAATAGAACACTGATCTTTGCTTTTAATTTACTCTTACTCCTGCTTAATTGTCGTGGAAAAAAAACGGTGTTCCCACTCAGGTCTCTGCTGGTATGTCTGCTTTTCAGTGAGGGCCTTATCTCACCCACTCCTCTCAATAACACTCACTCACTGTCACAGGGCCCTCACCCGCTCTTCTCAGTAACACTGACTGTCGCAGGGCCGTCACCTTGCCCACTTATCAGAATTCGAGACAACATCATTGCGGTTGCTTTATCAAGAACAAATACGGAGGGAAATTAATGTCACAATCAAAGTGAACTTGCGTAGTAAGAGATTGTGATAGAAAGTCTTTATGTATTTAATGTAAGTATATTATTACTGATTTTATGACCTGAAGTCACAGCCGTATTAAATCAGCTTCCCTGCCCTATATTCGCAACACATTGATATGAACTATTCAGTGACATTCAAAATTGATCCCAATGTTTCCTAATCAGATTTTTTGAATAACCAGTGCCAGACTTTGTGAATAACAATACCAGACACCAGGTTTATAGCTTAAACAAAAGATTTTACAATTTATTAACAATATAGTAGCTTTAAAAAAACAAAGTTAAGCAAAAAGGTATTCTAATGAATGATTATGACTTAAACAAATCTTCTTTGATTCTAGCCCCCATTGTAACAAAGACGGAAAGACAGACAAACAGATATAATGAAGAGATGAATCAAAGGGAAAAAAATAAATCAAGTGTAACTGGCCAGTTTACTTAAGCAGACTGCGTGACCTATAAAAACCGAAAGAACTGTGGATGCTGTAAATCAGGAACAAAAAAAAAGTTGCTGGAAAAGCTCAGCAGGTCCGGCAGCATCTGTGAAGGAAAAAAGAGTTAAGGTTTGGGGTCTGGTGACCCTTCCTCTGAACAGTTCTGAGGAAGGGTCACCGGACCTGAAACGTTAACTCTGTTTTTTCCTTTACAGATGCTGTCAGACCTGCTGAGCTTTTCCAGAAATTTTGTTTTTGTCCATCATCTAAAATCTCACAGGCAGATGAGATTGTATCTTAAGTTAAAATCTGAACTATCTACAGATGCTGTAAATCAGAAACAAAAACAGAAGTTGCTGGAAAAGCTCAGCAGGTCTGGCAGCATCTGTAGAGAGAAAACAGAGTTAACGTTTTGGGTCGGATTACCCTTCCTCAGAATTCCTTAGTTCTAAGGAAGTGTCACTGTATCTGAAACGTTAATTCTAATTTCTCTCCATAGATGCTGCCAGACTTGCTGAGCTTTTCCAGTAATTTCTGAGCTTCTATCTTACTTGGTTTCTGAAAACACTGATGTATGCAAATACCTTCCAGTAGGCTTTGAGGAATATTTAATTATTACTTGTAACTGAGTACCTCTTAGAATAAGTTGATAATGGGAGGACAACCAGTGAGCAATCAAACCTCTGTCCTGTAGCTTTTGCAGGGACAATCCTTCTGATTTAAAGACAGTTCAAATTGGTTTCTCTTTGTTAGTGACACGTCAATAGAGTTTTCTTGGAAGAAGAATTGACCTGCAATTAACTTCCAGACCTACCCTCATAAACAAATAACAAATGGTTTGTTCTTTTTTCACATAAGCTGCTGCTCACAGTCCAAAGGTCACTTTCAGCTCTCAGCTCACAGTTCACAGCTCCAAACCAAAAATGATAAAGAACTTAAGTACTAGGAGGACTAAGCCAATTCAGCTCCTCGAGCCCCGCTGTTTGATATGATTGTGGTTGATCTCATCTCTGCCTCAACTGCAGTTTCCTACCTGCTCTCCATAACTCTTGAACCCATTATGAACTCAAAAATCTGTCTATCTCCTCTTCAAATTTGCTCAATGTCACAGCACTCCAATGCCCTCTCAAGGAGTGAATTCCAGAGATTCATGAATCTCTTTCAGCATAGAAATTTTTCATCATCTCTTTAAACCTGCTACACCTTATGCTAAAACTATGACCTCTTGTTCTAAGTTGCCCACATGAGGAAACATCCTTTCCATGTCGACTTTGTCAATCCGCTTGAACATCTTATATCCGCTTGAACATCTTATATCCCTCAATTAGATCTCCTCTCATTATTCTGAACACCTGAGAATGTAGGCCTAAACTACTCAGTCTGTCTTAAGACACGTTCTCGTCTCTGGAATCATCCTGGTGAACCTCCACCGGACTGCCTCCAATACAACTACATCTCTCCTCAAGTAAGGAGACCAGAACTGTACACAGTGCTCCAGGTGTGGTCTCACTAATGCCTTGCATAGTTGCAGCAACCCTCTTTTGTATTTTTATACTCTCTTTCTTTAGCAATAAATGCCAAAATTCCATTTGCCTTTCTTAATACCTGCTGTACCTGCTTACTGGTTTTCTGTGATTCATAAAACTAAAAAATAATGAAGGTTTCAATGCTGTTAAAATGAAATCTATGCAAGTAAAATTAAAATAATGATAAGAGGACATTAATAGAAAATGAAAACACCTCTTAAAGAAGCCATTTCATTTTTCTCTCTCTGGAGAGCAATGTTGAACAGTCTTCACATAATAATGTTATTTGTGAGCTTGGATTCTATACTGGAGGAATGTTGCACATTTAAGTATGATTTGTATATCTATGCTGTGTGTAGTAAGAAGGACAAGACGTGGGTTTTAATCTAATAATTTTCTGTGTTCTTCTGTTAAAAATATACATAGGCATCCTCTTGTGAGTATGTTCAGTAATTGAATACCACGGTAAAGAGAAAGAAAAGTTATCTCACCCTGGGATCTGAATTGTCCAGTATCACCAACAACTGGGATCATAACACATGTAATTACAAAGTTCAAGCCTGATATTACCACTCGGTTCCTAAACTAAAATGGAATTTGATTCATTCAATTGTCATACATCACTGACCTTGATAATATGTTGTAAATTACAAAATGAAACAAAATAGGCCTTCACCATTTTTCTTGTAAAGCAAATCCATCATATTCAATTGTTGTAGTGGTGTAAAACACTAGTAAGTCATGCATTGCAAAGCCCTCCTGAATGTGAGCCAGACATTTACATAGATCTGTGGGTAACCTCAATTCAGTGAGCTTAAACTTGTATTTGTTTCCTGTTTGTGACTTTTTAGGCCACTTTTCTGACAAGGAATACTTCACCAATCTCGTTAAACAGCTGGGATCAGACTAAATACAAAGCTCTATTTTGTTCATAACCTACCCTTGATCAATGCTAAAGAAGATGCACTAGCATTTAAATAAAATAGTATTTATAGAGCCATAGAGTCATACAGCACGAAACAGACCTTTCAGTCCAACCAGTCCATGCCGATCATAATCCCAAACTAAACTAGTCGTGCCTGCCTACGCTTGGCCATATCCCTCCAAACATTTCTTATTGATGTACTTATCTAAATGTCTTTTAAATATTGAAAGTGTACCCGCATCCACCAATTCCTCTGGAAGTTCATTCCACACACGAACAATCCTCTGTATAAAAATATTGCCCCTCATCTCCTTTTTAAATCTTTCTCCTCTCATCTTAAAAATATGCCCCCTAGTTTTGAAATCCTCCACACTAGGGAAAAGACACCTGGCGTTCACCTTATGTATATCCCTCATTATTTTATAAACATTCATCAGGTGACCCCTCAACCTCCTATGCTCCAGTGAAAAAAGTCCCAGTCTATTCAGTCTCACCTTATAACTCAAACCCTCCATTTCTGGCAACATCCTGGTAAATCTTTTCTGAACCCTCTCCAGCTTAATAATATCCTTCCTCGAACACCGACCAGAACTGGACACAATACTGTACAAGAGGCCTCACCAATGTCCTGTACAACTTCAACATGGCATTCCAACTCTTCTCCTCAAAGGTCTGAGCAATGAAGGCACGCGTGCTAAACACCTTCTTAACCACCGAAAGAACTGCAGATGCTGTAAATCAGGAACAAAAACAAAGTTGCTGGAAAAGCTCAGGAGGTCTGGCAGCATCTTTGAAGGAAAAAACAAAGTTAACGTTTCGGGTCCGGTGACCCTTCCTCAAAACTGGCATTTCCCCTTCTTCACTGTCCACTGTACAACTGATTTTGGTATCATCTGCAAACTTACTAACCAGGCCTTCTATATTCTCATCTAAATCATTTATATAAATGACAAACAAAAGCGGACCCAGCAATGATCCCTGTGGAACACCGCTGGCAACAGGCCTCCGGTCTGAAAAACTTCCTTGCATCACCACTCTCCGTCTCCTGCCATTTAGCCAATTTTGTTTAGCTTCTACATAATTAATATTCCAGTAATAAACATCCCTGATGAGCTGCGGAAGGGTCACCGGACCCGAAACTTTAACTCTGTTTTTTCCCTTCACAGATGCTGCCAGACCTGGTGAGCTATTCCAGCAACTTTGTTTTTGTTCCTGTTGAGCTGTGACTTTGTACTTGACTGATTTCCAACATCAAAAGTTATAAATGTTGGAAGAGATTGGTTAACCTTGACTTCCTAGCTCGAAAATGTCCCTTCTATGCAAAGAAACTGAGGGTTTATTCTGGGACAGTGGTTTTGCAGATTTACCTGCAAGTCCAGCTGTAAATAGGAGGTGAAGAAGTTGCATGGACTATGCAGATGATGAATAGGCAGGCATTTAGCTTCCGGATGGAATCCTGTGGAAGTGACGAGGATCTAGGTCATTGACTCGAGAACTGATGAGGGAAAGGCTAGCCCCAACCAGCTCCCCTTCAGGGGAAGGCCAGCCTCAGGTCGCTCCCCTCAAGGGATATGTCATCCTGATCTTGCTCCTCTCATGCGTAGGCAGCTAGATCTTGCTCCCCTCTGGCACTTGATAGACCGGTGGCAGACCTGGTGGGATTTCACTTGCCATGAGCTGTTGGCTAATCAGAACCCAGCAGGTGTACTGAGCAGCAGTGTCACTTGGGAGGTGATGGTCTTTGTTACCATGGCAACCAACCTACGATTATTGCTAGATCCCAGGCCAGGATTGAGTGAAACACCATTAGCACACCCCTTCCCCTTCTTGATGTTGCATATTGAATGCCTTTGAAGGCTTGTCACATTCCTTAATGGTGACTCCCCTGCCCACTGTTGAGTCAATACCAGTTGTTGTGGGATGATGTACGTGTGCGCCAATTGTTCAGTTAGGGACTTTAACTTGCAGTGAAGTTGGGAAGTTGTGTACAAGTCTTCTCACCATGGATTTAATGTGGCTGGAAGCAGAATTGTGGGTGGTGCCATCCTTCCACTTGATTAAATGTCCTCTATTTCCAAACTTGCCACAAGGGAAAGTACAAAATCCCTCTGTTTTTGTTATCAATTCATGGTTTAATTTTGCAAAGAGTGTGGTAAGCAGCAGATTAGTTCAGTCCTTGTGAAATTGAAGGCAATGCAACACTTTTACTGGTCTCTTTTTAACACGGTAGGTTCTCAGACTGAGGAAATGGTGAATATTGTTGATCTTTAATGCAATATAATGAAGGAGAGAAAAATCTGGACTACAGAACCCAGAGAAAGAAAATTATAATCTGTCAGTGCTGCCTCTGTTAGAACAATGCAAAGTAAATACCAGTCCCCATGATCCCATATTGAACAATAGAAGTTTACTGCATAACAGAACATACCCATTGAGTGGGGAACTGATGAATAATGCAAGAGCACCGTCAGATTGAAATACTTTTATTTTAAAGGATTTCAGAACATGCTGGGATTTTTATTGCAAGCAATACTTGTGATGGAATATTCTTTTAATGTCAAAATGCTGCAACAGTTGGGAAGAACTGATATTAAATGGATATTATTGCAGATATTATACGTGAATGAAATAAAATTGTTTGCTTGAAATATTTTGTAATTCTAATTGAATGTAGCATTTTTGTATCTTAGCTGTCTGCTGTTTCTTATTTTTATAGAGTAGGTATTAACCTGGTCACTTGTAATGTTGCCAATTCCAGATTACTATATGGATGGTCTTTATCAGTTGCTTAATCCCCAATGCCAGTTTGTAATCCTGAATCCAATATTGTCGCTTCATCTTTCGATTCTGTATATAATCAAAGTTTGAGATAAACAGCTTTCATTTTACTTTCTTGAAGTCAATCAGTGCAGATTTTGTTTGTAAACCAGCATCCTGTATGTAAAACTGCTTTGTTTAATTAGATTAGTTAGCTAAGATTTATTTTAGTAAAATGAATCATTAGTAAGCTTCATCTCTTCCTCATTCTGAACACATGGTACGTCACGCAATGGCTATTTAATTTTGCATTGGTGCCGGTTCAAACCATGTGTATTCCAACTACAGATTGATACAGATGAAATAGTACCATTTCCTTTTTAGTACCAATCTCACCGTGCAGTTTTTCGGTATTTCATTGAGTTTCTGTGTACAGTTCTGAACCAGTCCGCTTGCCAGATGTCTCAACGTTGTCATGACATTGTCAAAGAATTCAGTGCTTGGTAGATTCAGAGATAAATTAATGTAAACTAGTATGTGTTAATGCCTCTGCTGTAATCGGGCGAAACACTCAGGTCATTGTCTTAATTTTTCTCTCTTGTATTTATATTGAAATGTTAACCATTCCATTTGCTCCACTTACTGGGATTGGACTTGATACAGAAGCGCTGAACGTCGACTTGCCAAATACATTTGGATGAACAGAATGAGGCCAATCAGTCTCTTGAAACACTATCTCTATGCAATCAACATTACAACATTAATTGACAATGAAAAATTACGTACGTGCTTCACAAGATTAGATTTGAAACAGAGATTTGTGAAGATGAATGTAACTATGTCTCTTAACAACCTCATTAAGTGAGTTCTAGAGAAGTCTTTGCAGGGTAAACTTAGGGTTTATCATTCTAACTTGCCAATCCTGAAAGATGAAAGTTGGTTTGTGTTGGATGTTTGTTTCATAGCTATGAAAGATATCCTGAAAGGATTTTCCAAATCCTTTGTTGAGAATTGTACCCATTTAGTCACTCTCATCCTTTTCCTTTTTTAAAATTTCCTTGGTAGTCACAAATTTCAAATATCTGAAGAATTTTATTAGGCTTTGTATTGGTCCTCTATGATTCTCCATTAATGGCTCCACTACCTGCTAGCTAATCACAGAATTTATCATTGATGTGCCTGTAACAAAATCTTCAATCTTATACTATATATCCCAATTTCAGGAGAAAGTCCTGAGAGACCTTTTAAAGGAACGGGGTTTGGAAAGAAAATTTAAGTTTTATAGATCAAAGTCATGAATAGTCGATGAATTATTTGAATTTCATATTTCCAGAACCTACCCCGGAAGAGAGAGCCCAGAGAATTGCCAAAGCTGTCCGCAAACAGTCAACGGAAGTGAAGGAAAATTGGGAGCAATTGAAAACCCATGCGAGCAACTGGCAGAAACAGGTGGAAAAGGCATTGGAGAAACTTCAAGAACTGCAGAAAGCTATGGATGATCTTGAGGCTCATGTGATAACAGCTGAAGGGGTCCGCACTGATTGGCAACCTGTGGGTGACCTGCTTATTGACTCATTGCAGGATCACATTGATAAAACCACAGTAAGTGCAATCACATTACCCTTCATTTATGAACAGATATAACCAAAATGTTGTAGCTAGACGATCAGTAATATGAGTACTTAAATAATATTGATTGAATGGTTGTTAACTTAATTTGCAAATTAAATCTTAGTTGAGCATACCTTCTGATGATATCACAACATCAATATTAGTATAATTGAGGATTCTATTAGTCAGTGACATCAGCTGAATTGTCTACTGGTTGCCATGTTATCAGGATTAAAGGTAAAGTCTTACCAGGCCATTTGGCCACTCCTTAGAGAGAGACGACTGGTTGTGATTTAACCTGAAGATCACCATGCCTCAGGCAAGTTGAGGAGTTGAGACGGAGATCCTTCGTGATAGCCTCAGTGGTGTGGCAATTGAGCCCACTCTGCAGGGCGTCACTCTGCATCATAAACCAACTGCCCAGCCAACTGAACTTGAATAGAGTTTAGGCTTGGAGAGCAATCCATGCAATTGTATTGTTTTTTTAATGAATGTTTCTCACTGGGACTCTCTCACTGGCAAACTTTTTAAAAGCATTAGCCAGCTCAACCACACAGGCTAGATCAATTCCTGATCTCAGCTGAATTTGTTGATCTCAGGTGGTCAGCGTTAGGAGTTCAGTAATTGGAATGAATTCTTATTAGGTTAGCGAGAGGGATACTACACCTGAACATATCAATGTCTTGATAAGAGGATGAGATTTGATGGATATGAGCAAAAGTTTAATTGATGTAGAAGATCAGCCACAATTGTCATGAACGGTGGAGCAGGCTTGAGCGGCCATGCAACATTGTGCTGCCGCTATTTGACTTGTTCTGTGGAAAGGAAGGAAAATAGTCAAAGTTTCAAAAATGCTGAAGCCCACATCATTCCATAACCTCATAAAATTTGATTGTGTTCAGCATTTTATCACAAGTGGTACCCCTCTCTCCTGGTCTATCGTCTCAGCAGCTCTACTCTGCCCAAAAGGTGTCTGTCTTGTGACATTTTTAAAGGATCTTCCCAAGTCTGAAAATCATTTTTGTTTTTGTAGAATCAGAGTTGGCCAGTGTGGAAGGAGGTCTTTTGGCTCTTTGAAATAACTCTCCAATTCGTCCCCCTCTGCTGTGCAATGACTTCAACCACTTATATAATCTCTTTAATGGAGGGAAACTTTTGAAGGCATCTTAAAGGAGTATTAACGATCCCAGAATACAACTGAATCTTATTAAGTTCTTAGTTCAGATGATCAAAAGCTTGATCAAAGAGGATTGTTTTATAAAGTGCCTTAAAAGAGGAAAGGTATAGAGGCCAAGAGGTGAAGGAAGTCTCTTCTTGGGTTTGGAGCCTACACAGTTAAATGTTTGGCAACCAGTAGCGGGCCAGTTAAAATCAAGAGTGGGCAAGAGGACATAATTAGACGAGTGCAGATATCCTGAAGTATGGTTGGACGGTGGACATTACCAAAATAGGGGCAGGTATAGCCAAGGAACGATTTGTAAACAAAAATGAGAATTTAATAAAAGTTTTTTTGATCTATTACTGTTAACAGTATCAGTTAGGTAGAAAGTACAGAGAATAGGATTTGGTTCAAGATGAGACTCGGGCAGTGGCGTTTTAGATGACCTCAAGTTTTCAATGGGCGAATGTGGGACTCCAGCAGGGAATGCATTGGAATTGTCAGGTCCAGAAGTAATGTAGTTACAGTTGAAGGTTTCACAGCTAATGAGCCAAGACAAGAGATAGGTAGGCAGTATTACCAAGATGTAAAGAGACAGCCTTAGTGATTGCATGAATGTGTGGTCGGACGTTCATCGTGGGATAGACAAGATGCCAGGGTTGTGCTCAGACAAGCATAACATTACGTTGTCGCCAAGGGGGAGTAAGTCGGTAGTGAAGAGAGGTTGATGTGGGGACCACAAACAGTGGTCTTCCCAGTGTTTAATTTGTGTCTCTACATAGTTCTGCAACTTTATGTTCTGTTCAAAGGGCATTACTGACAAGAAAACAAAAGTTAGCCATTTGTTTACTTGTCAATATGTCTTGATTTTTCCACCATGTTCTCCAAGTATTAACAAAACATATGCAATGTACTAAGTGAACCATTCAAACCTTAAAAGGAAATGTTAAAATTGTAGAATATAAAGTTAAATTTATTTTATTGAAAATTTAAATAAATTACATTAGGGTTTGACCAAGACTGAAAGGAATTAGATGGAACACCAGGTGAACAAAACAAGCAGTAGTAAGGTGGTATTAGCTGGATGTTCCTGAAGGAAGAGAACACAGCCAACCTTTCTTCCATAAGGGGGATTAATTGTGTGGTGTAAGACACAGTTGATTAAAGCATTCTCTCTGTCTTTACTGTCTGACTATACTATGGTTATAATCTTTCCTTTTTTAAATGCTCAAGATTAGAAATACTTCACTTGACATTCTGATTTTATAAATTTTAAGAAGTTGGCTTACTATCAAGTCACGCTAGGATTGAAACCACATTTTATAACTGTTTGAAATCAGAAGTCACATGACACCAGTTTATAGTCCAACAGGTTTATTTGAAATCACACAAGCTTTTGGAGTGCAGCCCCTTCATCAGGTGCAGTCAGAGAGGAGAGCACACAGACACACAGTTTATAAGCAGAGAGATCAAAAGATCATAGAATTGGCCTGAGTGGAGTGTCATTTAATAAATCTCTGCAGGTGACCAAGAGTGTTAGAGGCAAGTAAAGTGTTTATAAAGTCAATGTCAGTGCTGTGCTGTCATGATAATCAGGCAGGATGAAAGGAATGTACAAGAGGTGACATCTCAGGTCAGACTCTGACTTGTAGTTGTGAGGCTTTGTTCAGAATCTGTCTTAGAGTTTTAACGTTTATTTCGAAAGCAGGAATTTATAAGATGCCACACTGACTGACTGTAACTACAAGTTGTGTGTTTTTTCAACAAAATATCTGCAAATAAACAAACATCCTAGATGAAGACTTATTATCTGACACTCCACTCATACCAGTTGTATGATCTTTTGATCTCTCTGCTTATAAATTGTGTGTCTGTGTGCTTTCCTCTCTGACTGCACCTGATGAAGGGATTGCACTCCAAAAGCTTGTGTGATTTCAAATAAACCTGTCGGATTATAACCTGATGTCATGTGACTTCTGACTTTGTCCACCCCAGTCCAACACCGGCTCCTCCACATTATAACTGTTTGGAACCAAGTCAGTCCAACAGGTATATGTCGAACATTTGACTTCAGAAGGATGCCTAGTGCTGAAAAGTTCATTAATAACAAAGGATTTCTCCATTATGCTATCTGTCGTAACATGCTGCATCTCACAGTCATAGTGACAGGATGCCCACTTTAATTTAGCAGGGCCAAGAACAATTATGGACATTTTTAGCATGGGAGGAGGCCATTCAACCTATGTTATCTGTACCAGCTCTTTCCTAGAGCAACAAAATTAATCCCTTTCTTGAACTCATTCCACATATTTCCCAGAATCGAAATATATAGGTACATATTTAAGAGATTTTAGCATCAAGTGACGAGTTCTAGCACTTCACCTTGTCACTAAAAATTGAAAATGTGACTTACAAAGAGTGGGTCTTTATTTTGTTCTGTTTTGATGCAGAAGGCAAAGTGCTGGAACTGGCCTCTTGAACTTACACTCTTTTAAACGTGTATAAAATGAATTCTGTGTGCATCTACTAAAAGCAGTTTTATGGAAGGAAAAGGTACCAAAAAAGATTTTCCGTATTGTACTTTATCCAATTATATTCCAACCTGTGAAAACAGAACTCTATGACTGTGAGTGTTGAGTTCTGGGAGGGTGCTATCTTGTTTGAATTTACATTGCTAAATCTAGGTCCATTTTCCCAACAGCAGAATTGGTAATCCAGAAATAAATGGATATTGGTTTCTCACATTTGTTGGCTGTAAGAGTCTGTGTAAAATTTCAGTACAGTTTCCTCATATATAGGTGCTTAACCTGCTTTTACAGTTTGAACATTTGTTGTGCCAATGAAAATTTTTTGAATGGTTTCATCTCCAATTTTCTTCTTTATACATATTTGGTATTTTTTCAGGATAAGGACTATCTGCAAAATCTGACATTGGGTTTTGAAAGTCAGCAGCCTTTGTTTTGGATATTTCTCAAGCATTGAATTTCATTCAAAGTTGGTTGGATTTTGCTGAAGCAATAGACATAACTCACTATGACATAGACAACGTCAGAGTTAACGTTTCAGGTCCAGTGACCCTTCCTCAGAACTCACTCTTCACTGATGCTGCCAGACCTGCTGAGCTTTTCCAGCAACTTCTGTTTTTGTTCCTGATTTACAGTGTCCACAGTTCTTTTGGTTTTTATGACACAGACAAAACTTGATCTCTGCAGGTAGCATGATGCTGCATTCTCCAACTTCCCTGCTTTTTTGGACAGAAGTGGCTTTTTTTTGTTTGTTTTGAATTCTGCAAATAATTTCCATGCAGGTTAAAAGTCTACACCTTTTTAGTTCACTGTGGTGCTGTATAATGAAGACTTCCAATATTCTTTTTTTAAAAAAGTAGAAAATCAGTGTTGCTTGTTTTCCAAAATGTGATGTGCAAGTGCAACAGTTAACAGTGTGTTCATCAAACTATTGTTTATTTTGATCTTTGTGTTGCAGAAATTTCTAGAATCATTTCATATATATTTTTTCTTGATATATTTTAGCAGCTTTCCTGGAGCAAGTCTGTTTTCCTTAGGATGAGACTACTTTCAGACATACTCTCTTTATTATGAGATTTAATTGGGGTAAAATGAGGAGGATTTTTATTCACTGAGACGCACATGACTATATATTTAAAGCATTGGAAAATGCATTCTGTTAGGACTGTCATGTGATCTGTTGTTTGTACCAGGCTTTCTGATTAACTGCAAGTGATTAAGGATGCTAATGGATGCTGTATGTTATTACAAGAGGAAGTGAACATAAAAGTAAGGATTTTATGCCACAGTTATACATAGCATTGAGGCCATACCTCAATTATTGCATATAATATAAGTTGCCTCATTTAAGGAGGCAGTTCACATTTAGGTTTACTAGAACAATACTTGTAATTAATGGGTTGTCTTATGAAGTAAGATTAGAAGGACTGGGCTTGTTTTTGCTGAAGTTGAGAAGAGTGAGGAAGTGATTTCCTTGAAGTATATATGATTCTGAATGGTCTTCACGAGGAGTATGTAGAAAGACTTTTCCTACACTTTGGTGAGGGCAGAACTAGGGACACTTCTGTAAAATTTGGAGTTGCCACTTTAGGACAGATGAGCAGAGCATTTTTTCTCTGATAGTTGTATGACATTGGAACTAGCTGCCTCATAAGATGACAGAGTTGGGGTCATTGAATATTTTTAAGGTGGAGGTAGATTCTTGTAAGGCAGGGAAAAGGTCTCTATTAGTTGGAGTCATACCAAGCACAAAGGAAAACGTTTGTAGTTGTTAGACATAGTCATCTCACCTCCAGGACATCTCTGTAGGAGTTCCTCAGGGTAGCGTCCAAGGCCCAAACATCTACGCTGCTTCAGCTTCCCTCTATAAAGTCAGAAGTGGGGATGTTCGTTGATGACTGCACAATGTTCAGTACCATTTGCAACTCCTCAGATAATAAAGCAGTCCATGTTCAAATGCAGCAAGACCAGTACAATATCCAGGCTTAGGCTGATAAGTGGTAGGTAACATTTGCACCACACAAGTGCCAAGCAATGGCCATCTCCCACAGGGGAGAATTTAGCCATCATCTCTTGACATTTAATGCTGTTAGCATCGCTGAATTCCCCACCATCAACATCATGGGTGTTACTATTGACCAGAAACTGAACAAGATCAGCTCCATAAATACTATGGTTACAAGGGCAGGCCACCCTGTTGAGTGCAGATGATTTTAACCACTCCATTTTTACCAAGATTTATCTATGGAAAGTTGGGATTTGTCAATTTCTGAAGAGTCAAACAACAGTATTCTTTTCTTTTCATTAATTCTTTGTAATTTATTGCATTTAAAACTTCTATTGCCAGAAAAAGAAATTGTGTGGCTTAGCGACTTTTTTTGAACGTCTTGTGAGAAGTGCCATTCGGAGGTGGTCACATTGTTACCTTGTGATCAGTCTGGATCAGTCGGGCTGGACATGAGATGAGGCTGAGGGTGGGAAGATTTTGAAGCAGGTACTTCAGAGAAAGCAGCCCAGACCCATTCAGCCCCTCCCTATAGCTGAAACCCTCCAATCCTGGCAATGTTCTTGTAAACCTTTTCTGAACCCTTTCAAGTTTCATGACAACTTTCCTATAGCAAGGAGACCTGAATTGAACGCAGTATTCCAAAAATGGCCTAACCAATGTCCTTTGCAGCTGCAAATATGACTTCCCAATTTCTATATTCAGTGCTCTAACCAACAAAAGCAAGCATATTAAACACCTTCTTCACTATCTGCGACTCCACTATCAAGGAACTATGAACCTGCACCCCAAGTTTGTTTGGCGACACTGCTGAGGACCTTACCATTAAGTGTATAAGTTCTGCCCTGATTTGCCCAACCAAAACCTAAAACCCTTTACACATTAAACCTAATTGTCTGTTCTTTGCTTGGTGGTATATATAAAAAGGGAAGAGTTTATGCTTCCTCAGGCAACCCATACCCTACATTCAAGAGGTTGATTTTCTAATGGCTTGAATTGGAACTGGTTAATGGATTGAGTTTTAGGATGTCTCAGGATGTCTTTATATATGATGTGCATCAGGCAGGTGTCAAATTGTATTTCCAAATACACTTCTGCATATAGATAGCATAATGTACGAAATAGGAACAGGACTAAGTAGAATTACCCCTCGAAGCCCTGTTGAGTTGATTTGTCCTATTTTATTACTTATTTCTACACTTATTAAATTCACTTTTTTTCTAAAGCATTCTTTCACAGGATGAGGGCACTGCTGGCAAGGCTAGCATTTGTTTTCCATCCGGGAATGGCTTGGTAGGCCATTTTGGAAGTCAGTAAGGAGTCAGCCATATTCCTGTGAATCTGAAGTCATATACCAGAATTGCTAAGGAAAGCAGATTCCCTTCCCTAAAGGATATATTAGTGAATTCAGTTTTCTGTTACAACAATTTATGAGAGTTTCATCGTCACTGTTACTTTTAATTCAAGATCTTTATTAATTGAATGTCATTTCCAGCAGGTGCTTTTGTATTTTGTATTTAATATTAGGATGTTAGTTTTAACTTAATTCCTTATTAACATTTATTAATTAATTTCAGGATGTTTCTCAGATTTTGTATGCTTACTCTCCATTAGGCTTTTAAAGAAGAAATTACCCCAGTGAAGCAAGAAGTCAAAATATTAAATGATCTGGCCAGTCAGTTATCTCCGCTTGATGTATCTTTATCTCCAAAGATTTCTCACCAGCTTGATGACCTAAATATGAGGTGGAAACTTATACAGGTAACAGTGAAAACATTTTCAAAGCCAGTCAATCTGTTGTAGAAAATATGTACAAATAATTTGTCTCCAAACATATGAGCAAGATAAAGAACCCTTTCAATTTAAGCTAGCAATTAATATTTTATTATCATGGTTTATGAAGGTATTCAATTTTATAATATTTCTTTTTCAAAAATACAATGTGCTGGTCTGTAGTCTGCACTTTAGAATGTAATCGCAAAACAAAATCCAAATAAAGAGTGAGAGATGTGAACATCCAAACCACAGTCTGAAATGGTTCCGGCCTGGAACAATTTGAATATATTCAGGATGAAGCTGCAGGTAGCAGATACTTTTCCCGATCCATCTAAAAGAATTTAGAGTTGGACCGTTGTGATAACTGCTGTACACTTCAGTGTTATTTATTGTTTTATATATTTTAAGTCCCTGAGAAAGACATACTTTAATGAATTACAACAAAGATATATTTGATGCATTGAAGGGAAAGTGACATAAAATTGTATGAACTGCATGTATTTCTTTCGATTGAGCAGATTTTGGTTGATCTCAGCAAAGCAGTATACGAAAATTTTCTTAATCCCATAAAACCTCATGAAATGTTTTATTGAGCAAATTATTTCAGTCTTGTTCTGTGTCAGTAGCTAGCTTGGCCATGTAGCGCAATAAAACTCCCCATCAGTCCTGAAAGCAGACAAGAACGTAAGAAATAGCACGAGGATCTGGATGTTCTACCTCTCGACCCTGCCCCACCATCCTATAAGAACATGGCTGACCTGCCCAGGACTCAACTCCTCTTCCATACCAGCTTCTCAGAGCCCTCAACTTCTCTTTATCAAAAATCTTATCTACCTCTTCTTTAAATACTTTCAGTGATCTACCTTTCACAATTCTCTTGTATTTTAAACAATCACTACCTGCTGAAAGAAGAAATTCCTTTGCATCTCAGGTTTAAATAAATGTTCCCTTATTCTGTAACTATGTCGCTGAGTTTGAGATTTCCCCACTAATGGAAACATCGTCTTCACATCTAGCCTGTCAAGCCCCCTCAAAATTTTGTGTTTCAATAAGATCACCTCTCACTCTTCTAAACTTGTATGAATAAAGACCTTCTGTATAACCATTCTTGATAAGTCATGATCCTATGAATCAGCCCAGTGAATCTCTTTTGAACTGCTTCCCATGGCTGTGTATCCTTTCTTGTATTTCTCCAAGTGTGACCTCCTCAATAGCCTGAACAGTTGCAAAAAACTTCCCCATTTTTGAACTAAAACCCCCTTGCAATAAAGGCCAAAATTCCATTTACCTTCTTAATTACTTGCATCACCATAGTCATGGCTCATATCAACTCCAACCTACCAAAGTGCCTTGATCCTTTGCAATTCACTTACCAGCGCAACAGGTCTACAGCTGACACCATCTCCCTGGCCCTACAGTCATCCCTGGAGCGTCTGGATAACAAGGATACCTACATCAGGCTCTTACTTATTGACCAGAGCTCCACCTTCCACACTATAATTCCAAACAAACTCCTCTCTAAACTCCGAGACCTAGGTCTCGGCATCCCTCTCTGTAACAGAATCCTCGACTTCCTGACCCAGAGACCGCAATCAGTCAGGATAGGTGACAACACTTCCTCCACCATAAGCCTCAACACCAGTGCCCAGCAAAGCTGCATACTCAGGCCCCTACTCTATACTCCTTATGCAATCATGACTGTGTGGCCCCAACTCCATTTACAAGTTTGCTGATGACACTTCCATTGTAGGTCGGATCTCAACCAACAATAAGTCAGATTACAGGAAAAAAAATTGAGTGCTTGCTGGCATGATGGAAAGATAACAATCTCTCCATCAACATCAACAAAATGAAGGAGCTGGTCATTGATTTCAGGAAGCTTCTGTCTGCAGCAATGGTGCTGAGGTGGAGCTGGTTGACAGTGTCAAGTTCCTGGGAATGTTGATCACTAACAATCTATCCTGGTCTACCCATGTCAACGCGATGGTCAAGGAGGCTGAGGAAATTCAGCATGTCCATGAGGACTCTACCTATTTTCGTAGATGCATCCTATCTGGATGCATCACTGTGTGGTATGGCAGTTGCTGTTCCCAAGACCGCAAGAAGCTACAGAGAATCATGAGCACAGCCCAGTCCATCACGCAAACTAGCCTTCCATCCATTGACTCCATCTACACTTCCCACTGCATTGGAAAGCAACCAACATAATCAAAGCACCCCTCACTCTGGTTATACTCTCTTCCACCCTCTTCTGTCGGGCAGAAGATATAAAAGTTTGAATATCCATACAAATAGATTCAAGAACAGCCTCTTTCCTGTTGTGACTTTTGAACGGACCTCTCAAATGTTAATTCTGATCTCTCTCAGCACCTTCTCTGTGGCTGTAACACTGTATTCTGCACTCTGTTCCGCTATCCTGATGCACTTTGTATGGTATGATCTGCCTATACAGCATGCAAATCAACACTTTGCACTTTGTATGGTATGATCTGCCTACATAGCATGCACATCAACACTTTTCACAGTATCTCGATACATGTGACAGCAATAAATCAATCAATCACCTGCATGCTAATATGTGTTTCATGGACTAGAGCATCCAAGTCCCCTACCCTGCATTTTTTAGAGTCTCCCTCTATTTAAATAATAATCTATCTTTTGATTCTTCCTACCAAAGTGTACTTTCCTACATTAAACTCTGTCTGCCAACTTTTTTCCGACTTGCTCAACCTATCTATCCCCTTGCAGATTCTTTATGTCCTCATGACAACATTCCCTCCCACTATTTTTGTAGCATCAGCAAATTTGGATGGATTTATACCTTGTCCCCTCCTCTAAATTATGAATGTAGATAGTAAATAATTGTAGTCCTAGGACCGATCCCTGTGGCACTCCACTAGTTATGGCTTTCCAGCCTGATAAAGATGGTGGTTAGAAAATAATTGGTTAAGTCATTGAAATGAGAAGTGTTAAAAAAATATGCATTTTCATTATTTGTGAAATAGTTAAATCAGATTGTATATAATAAGAGATAAATATTACAGTAGTTCTTGATGAATACAGTTTATCATTGAGCTTTATGAAAGGTCTGAATATAGTTCATGATTTATTATAGCATCAGTTTTCATGCATCTTTATCTGAGAATTCAGATTTGTTTTGTCAAAATTTGTGCTGTGGACACACATGATATTTGCTAAATCTGTCCTGTCCTTGCAATTCAACTTGTTCAGTTTTGACATTACTTCTGTAAGGACCCCAAAGTCGAGCTACCTCGCGTTGATAGCTCATTGCACACTTCATTCCTCAATTTAAGAAACGTCACGGTTTCTGGGATCAGATCGAAAAATCTTTACAAGACTTCCCCTTGACTTAACTACCTCGTCAGGATGGAGGATTAATTCTCTGTACCTCTTGCTGAAATCGAGTTTATAATCTTAACAACTCTCCATAACTTTGGTCATTAATGTCTGATCACACCTTTCTCTAGCCATGTGGTTTCCTGAAGCAGAATTCATGCAGTGGCATGATCATCGACAACGACGAGGAATGCGGCAGGCAGTGAGGTTAATGATCAGAGATCCTGCGATTGATGATTGTGATCTATGCTTTGTAGAACATGGCCTTACAGTATGCCATAGCTACTCATGTCCGTTTCTCACATTAGCTGCTGTTGTTTTACTGTAAACTTAATAAATTATGAAGTAATTACTTTAGTCCTTGTTGGCTGTACGGTCACCTTTGACAAAAGAGAGGAAATCAGAATCATTTCTGCAAAATTCAACCAAAGCCCACAATTGTGCCAATCAGTTGTGATGGAAACCAGCTTCTTGATTAGAACATTTTTCTCAAGCACATAGCCTTTGAATTAACAGTAGATATCCTCACCCCTTGTTCTTGCTTTAAAAAGCCAAAGGTTGAGAAGATCCTCTTTAGTTGTTAAGTCCTTGATGACCATGAGCAAAAAAATAATCAGCTGGGCTATGTTGGTGATGTCAGTATGTTCATCGAATTTCTTTGAGAAGCATTCATGGTTCTTCAGATCCTGCTGTAGCTGCTGAAAGACATCTTTGGAAAAAGATTCCATGTGTCCTTCTACTGTGTACGGACCAAGTGACAAGCATTTGATTGCTGTTCTTCTTTCTTCTTTGTTCTTAAAATCTTTGAATAAGGAGGCAGCAGCTGCAGTTATTGTTTCTATAATTACTTTGCCATCTGTGAATGATTTCTTGTGTTTTACCTGAAGATGGCAAATGTGAAATGATGCTTCAGTGTGGGCCTCATCTTTGCTGCGGCTTTGGAAGAAAGTGACCATTGAGTTTTCATGCAGCCTTCAGCTCCTCAATATTATTGTCTGAAATGTGTACTTTGAGGGAAAGCTATCCTTGAAATTTCTATGCATTGTTGTGTGGTATAGTTCCAAATTTCCCTTCGAACTTATAAATATACTTCACTGACATACAAGGCAAACGCGCTTAATTTTTGTGGTTCTGAACAGAAATTCATTTTTCCATTCCCTGGGGAAGTTGTATATTTCTGGTTTCTTTTCAGATATTTCAAGTTCATCACTCATCATTATTGCTTGTAGTTCATGTCGTCACTGTGCTGCTCATCATTCTGCAGGTTGGCTTTTGGATCTGTGCCTCTGGAACATCCAGAATGTTGTTGCTGCTTTCAAGTGTGGAGGCATAGGAAGTCACTTTTGTGGTCACAATTTATTTCAGGATCCAGAGCAATTTTGTTACTTGGATATTGGATGTGGGCACAGCAGTGTTCCTGATATATTCCTTGGTCTTGATCCTATTAAATAACCAGCCAAAGAGAAAAAAACTGCAGGTCTACAGAGAGCAGGCAGAGGAATGGGGCTGACTGAGCTGCTCTTGTAGAGTCTGCATGAATATGATGGGCTGAATAGCATCCCATGTTTCCGATATGTAATATATTGGCTTCACATATCAGTTCCAATAACATTTCTTATACTTTTGTT